CCGCAGCGCCCTGGAGGAGGCGGCCCCCGCCCGGGCCGTACAGGCGCCGCAGCTTAGGCGGCAGGTGCAGCTCGGCCTCGAACTGGGTGCTGCTGCCCTTGGGGGAGCCTGCGGGCAAGGGAGGGCGGTCAGCGCGCCGGGCGCCCCGCCAATGCCCCCTCCGCGCGGTCCAACTCCCAACCCTTCGTCTCCTTCCCCACTTTTCTTTCTTTTTCATTATAGCTTTCTCTCCCTTTCTCTTATTTCCTTCTTTTTTCCCTTCTCTCGCCTCCCTCCCTTTTTCCTCTCCTTCCCTCGCTCCTCTTTATTTTTCTTCCTTTCCTCACCTCTTTCTCTGCTTCCTCGCTTCTATCTTTTTTGGTTCTTTCCTTATCTCTTTTTCCTTCTCTCTCCCTCTCCCTTTCTTCATCCCTTTTTCCTTCTCTCCCCTTTCCCTTTTCGGTTTGCGTGCGCCCTCCTTCATTCCCTCCCTCCGTTCCTTCTTTCCCTTGCTCTCTCTCTCCCACTTTGTTTTTTCCCCCCAATTTCGGGCCAGGAAGAATCCGAAAACATTTAACAACTTAAAAAAATGACCGCTATCCTGAAAACTTTGCGCAAGACCTCTGCGCGCTGCTCCGCCGCTGGGCCCGGGTTGGCTAGAGGGGCGCTGCCCCGCGGGCGACCCCTGCGGGGAAAAGCGGCCCTGTGGCCCTGAGCGCCGGCCTCGCCCCAACCAGCCCGCAGCGGGAGGGGCCTGGAGCTCCTTGCACAAAAAGGCAAAGAAAAATCATCCCAGGGAAAATGCTCTGGGAAAGGCCTGGGGTGGGGGTGGAGGGGGGCTCAACAGGCACAGGCCGCTCTTTCCCTTTGAGGAAGCGCCTGGCACAGGGGCCACAGCAGACTAAAAAAGGAAAAGGAAAAAGTCAGTTTTATTTTAAATGGCCCTTTCTCCGCCGTCCCCTCCTCTCTTCCAAGTGGCGCTGCGGCTGCACCGCTGGGTTTTGGATTTTGCAAGAAACCAACAAGTCTTGCCCTGTGACACCTCTGCAGCCAGCTCAAGGCGAAACTTAAGCGTAACAGGTTCAGGGTAAAACGACAGTGGATCTGGAATTTTTAATTTTAGAAAAAAAAAAAAAACCTTCCAAACAACATCTCAACCGCTCAACTCTATTAAAAAAGTAACATAGCAGAGAGGGAAAAATAGCCACCCAGAAGCCGCACATTTCATACATTTCAAATACAATAAGGAGCCTTTGGGAGAATCCTAGGGGGACGTTTTCCGCAAAGCTGAGGTTTCAAAGCTCACAAGGAATCTACAATTAAAGAAAGGGGGGGAAAAAAAGCAAAGCAGATACTGCATATAAAGAAATCCTCCAAAGAGGAAAGGCCGAGGCTCACCCGGGCTGGAGACCCCCATTCATCACGCTTTGGGGTTTCTTGTCTTCACCAAGTTGTCGCTACAAGGATCCACCCCGGCATCTCCTATTTCTGACCTGTCGCCCCTCGTCAGACTACACCCAAGGCCACCAAAGGGGGCATTTGAACGATCTACGACCAACCCTGAGAACCCAAGGGCCCCGGAAGCGAAGCCGGGCCTCTGCTGCTTGGAAGCACAGAGGGAGAGACGGCCTCTGGAGAGATGATTATCGCTCTTGGAAGCACCAGGCCTCAGGGTTGTCCCCTCTTCCTCCGACTCCAGCTGGACAAGCTGAGGCCCGCAGACCCCAGACATCAGACATCCCAACCAGTGCCCAGCGCCCTTCGCAGGTGCCTGGTGGGCGCAGCCTTACCTTGCACGGCCTTCTCCTGGTCGGCGCGGCTGGCCAGCGGGGCAGGCAAGCTCTGCGCGGCCCCCAGCAGCCGCATCTTGCACGGGCTCCTCCGGCCCAGGATGCTGTCGATGCAGTAGGAGGAGAGCAAAGTTGGCGATTTACTTTTGCACTCGGGCCTCTCGGAGCAGCCCTCGTCTTGGTACTGGTTGCTCATGGCTGGGGCTTTTTCGCTGGGCGCAGTGAGCCGGCCGCTGGTTGCCTCTCCCAGTGGGGGGATGGCTGGGTGTGCGTTGGAGGGTGGGGTCGGGGACGGCTGGTGCTAACGGATAGGACTGCGATCTTTGTGCTCTGCCTCCCTCGGTTGCCGGCTGCCGGCTCCCGCCCTGCCCGCGGCCGGAGCTCGCCCTCTCCGCGCTCAGGACAACCGGTAACAAGTGTAGTGAGCTGCTGGCGCCGAGAGCTGGAGTCTCTCTCCTCCACGTGCTGAGAGGCGCCCTCTGATTGGCTCTCGCCAGAGGCCGGGCTGCGTCGGGCTGGGGGCGCGGCGCAAAGCCCGGACTGGATTCCGGAGGGGGCGCGGGCGGGGGCAGCGGGCCCGCACCAGCGCCAGTGTTCTTTTTTGGGGCGTTTTTTAATAATAACTTTTGAAGTTCGCCGTCCCCTTCCTGCAGGTCCTCCTTTAGCCCTTTCAGGTGGGCCCGAAGCTCTAGCGCATTCGGATGCCAGGCCTGTGCGTGTCACTTGGGCGGCGGGAGCCCCTTTCACCACCCCAGGGCCTCGCTCCTCGGAGGAGAGGCCTGGAGGCTCCTGATCAGACCGACTTGGCACTTCGCAAAGCCGAGATCGCATCCGCAGGGCAGTGCCCCGACCTCAGTGGCGCGCGATCCCCGGCCTCTCTAGTTCAGACAGGCCTCCGAGGTGCCTGGGGGACGGCTGCAAGCAACGCCTGGCGTCTGGGCGTCCAGTTTTCTCTTGTGACCCAAAGCCTTGCGCTATTTGTCTTCACCCTGAGACTGGCTGTTGCTATCTTGTTAGTAGAGTACCCCAAAAAAAGTCCCCTTAAAGGCAAAGGTCTGCCCAGCGCTCGCGGCCTTCCCTGGAGCTCCTATGGAGTGGAAAGGGACAGGCTACGGTCAGCTTCGAACGGCGGCTGAGGACGGCTCTGGGGTCTCCGTCTTCTCCCCGAATTCGCCTCCCTCTTAACCCCACAAGTTCGTCTCTGTTAGGTAGTCACCCCAAGGCTGGACGCCCTCGAATCGCGCCCGGGAGCAGAACCTGCGGATGGCCCTGAGCTCCCCGAAGTGGGAAGGACCCAGGTTCTACTGTAGCCGAATCTAAGCGCCCCCAATTCTCCTGGATTCTCAGGCCAGACTCCCACTAGCAAAGGTGAGAGGGGTGAGCCCGAGGGCGAGCGCATTTCTCCCCAAGCAAGCTCCCTGCGCGGCCAGCGTCAGAACCGAGACCCGGCCCCGACTGAAGTGGGGCCAAGCTCAGACAAGGGGCCAGCACGGATGCCCTGTGGGTGCGGGGCCTGAGGGCAAGCCACGGACCCCTACGCGGGCGGGTGGGGGCGAGGAAGGTGGGTGGGAGAGGGCCGGGGCGGGGGAATCCACGCCGGGTTTTCCTCTCTCAACCCCTTCGATGTGTCAACGAGAAAAGCGCTTTACAAAGGATTATACTTGAATCGCTTGCAGTCAGTATTTAAAAATACAAGGATGCATAACTGGAATTTTTTTTACAGCCGTAAACATCTGCATAGCTCTTGGATGCTGATGGGTGGCTGATAGATCGGGCTGGCTTGGCAGGAGCATTCAAGATAGAACTTGAGGGGGATAAAGGGTTGGGAAGAGGCACGTTAATAATGCTAACCCTGATGCGGGTACTACTACTACTACTATTAAGGGCAGGAGGAAAAGGATCTCTCTGTCCCCTTCTCTCGCTCAAGTGTTTAGTTGCTCGTTTTTTCCTATCCTTAGGTGATGGGGTGGGGGGAGCGGAGGCGGAGAAGCCGAGTTATCGCTGACGTTTGATTTTCTTTTAAGCCCTCTCTGCGGTTCCCAGGCACCTGGGACCGTCTCCTGCCTCTCTGCATTCTTCCTTCTCCATCCCCGCCAACAGTTGGGTGTTTTAATACTGCCCCGTTCAGCTTTCCGCTGATCACCTCCCCTGCTTCTCTCCCCCGGCCCCCCGAAAGCCCAGTCCCGGCGCGCGGGGCTCCTTAGAGGGAGATGCGGAGAGACGCGTAGGTGTCCTGGGCGCCTCCAGCCGCTGACCCTCTCGGGAGTCCCTGAGGCTGGCCGCTGCGCGACACCGAGGCACTGTTACCTCCCCGGTGGGCCCCGTGTCGGAAATCCACAAGACCCGGCTGCTGGCGGCTCGGTGACTTCACAGTCGGCTCCGCACACACAGGGAGTGGGCTGCGAATGAGGCCAAGAAAGATCGAGTTCAACAACAAGGGACACAAATGCACAAATCACTGCCGAGAGCCCAACGGGGTTGCAACTCTTTCGGTAGACTTCTCCGCCTGCGTCCGTCCCCCTCCTCCCTCTTCTGCAGCTGTTCTCCTTCTTTTAATAAAGAGTCGGACTTTCTGCTGGAGGTGTAGTCTAATTTTAAGCATCCACTGTAAAAGGGGAGGTTAATATAGAATTTCTGATTCTGATTGAATGACCTCTGGAATTAAATTGAATTCTATTAATGGCATGGAAAGTATTTCTCTGGGAGACCTGGGTGGAGACACTAGCTTTATTTGCTTTGTTTATTTATTTTTGGTATCTTTCTGACCAGCCTTCCCAAGTGAGGATGTTTTTGGGAAGGCACGTCCATTCACCTCGGGGAGAAGGGCCGCACCCAGCTCACTTTACACCCAGCAGCCCTGCAGTGATCCTGGCCACATTCAATACCCCACTTCAAATTCGACAATTGACTCTTGTTATTCCTGAGAGATTAAAAAAACAAAACCAAACCAAAAACAAAGCCCAGAAACTTTTCTGACATTCCTAAGAGAGACAGAATTTGCTGGCGTCTCCACAGTGTGTAACCAGAATATGGGTTTAAGACGCACGTGTGATCCTATATGTTATTTTCAAAAACAAAATAGTTCCTCTAATATGGAAGAAGAATGAAATTGTTCGCTGAGTAGGTCGACTTTGAAGAATTGGGCTACAGGACTCTGTAGAAAAGAACTTTTAGTTGAGCACAATTTAATATTTACTCTGTCAGCAAAATGATACAGCACTTTCTTTTCACCTCACTTTCTTCAATTGCTTTCAGCCACTGATCAAAGTAATTTGATTTTAGTGATAATATTAGTTCTGTTTCTACATGGTTATTTGCGATGTCTGGTTTCTCTAATCTTTGGCATCTACAACTGTTGGTTTGCTTTTTCTGGGCTGTCTGGAGAACAATGGTTTGAGGCTCAGCTGCTTGTAAAATCCATCACTAAAATAAGAATGACAATTAAAGTTGGAAGTAAGGGTCAGAAGTGTTTAAAACTCTTGTTTATGGTAAAAAAAAAAAATGGGGCTTGTCCCCAAGACTGGAAATAATAATTACCTAGAAGAGGCGAATGGAAGAAACACCTTTCTTTTCTGTGGTGAGAGCTAATTCTACATTGTAGTTTCAAAATTATATTGCAAGAAACGCGGGATAAGGGGGTGGCAGTTAGAGGTCGTTATCCCGGGGTGGAAAAATGTTTGCAGGAGCGTTAACCTCGTGCACTTTCATTTGAGATGTTTTAATTTATTGTGCAATATACACATAGATAAATAAAGCTATAATGGGCTTCCAGCCGCACCGGAAGGCTCAGGTCCCCTTAAATTATGCTCAACCTCTTCAAAACATATATTTAAACAATAGAAATAAACTTCATTGGAGTCTGGCGACCAATTTGGAAGCCATTGGAAGGGAAGACAATAAGTCCTGATTACACGCGAGGATTCTCTGTGATGTGCGATCCCCTTTGCCAAGTCATTTTGCTGTTTTATTTATTTCATTTCTCCCTCTCTCTCTCTTTTTTTTTAAACAAACTTTCATTCATTTATGGTCTTCTGCAACCTGCTAATTTAACACTGGAGCGCGTTATTGCAGTGTTAGGAGGAGAGAAAGAGGGAGAGAAAACAACAATACTGCAATGATCCAAATGATACAGTAGAATTATAGCAATTATAGTTCTACTTGTGGAAGAAAACCTTGCTGAGATCAGGCAAACAAACTGAAGCCTTGTGAGGATAACAAGCGTCGCGATTGACAGCCAGTGCTGGGAAGAGCCGGAGGGCACAAACAGAAATATTTGCCTCCCCCCTAACCCCCCCTTAGCTCCAACCAGTCAAGGTTAACCTCCTCAAATGCTGTTTTCAGAGTCGGATCCACTTCAGGGTCTGCATTTTCCGCCCAGATCCAGGTCTGTCCTCCTGGAAGTCTGATAACAGGAGCAAATGTGACATAATCCGCTTGCCTAGCACTTGCCCCTCGCCTTCTCGGCGCCCCGCTTGCCTTCCAGGACCTCCCCCTGCCTCAGTTCTCCCCAGGCCGCTGGCACCTGTACGTGGAAAGGGTTTGTTTGTTGACGTGTTTTGAGGAGCAGCCCGTGGGAAGGTCCGAAGGGACCGAAAATTTGGATTTCCAGGGGGAGACTTCCTCGCGCTTTCTCCTGCGCCGGAGCCAAGGGCTCCGCGGTTAGGGCTCGGCGGGGAGTGGCTGGTTGGGAAGCAGCTTTTGGGGAAGAAGTGTCCCCAAGGACCACGGCCGAGCCCTCGAGGTAGGGACGTGTGGATGCGATTGCTGTGATAGGACAACTCCCCTTCTTTGCAAACTTCCCCACTTTTTGCTACGGGTCAGCAGCCCGGGGAGGGGGTGGGGCAGCCAGAACAGGGGCGCAAACAAGTCCCCCCCCATCACCCATGCAGGCAAACACTGGGGCATTCGCAAGCTTTGCTCCGAGCACAAAGCTGGGCTAGATGGTCGCAGCACCATGTCTGCCCTCGGAAGGGGGGACGTGCGCACCCTCCCACGTGCAAGAAGAAAGTGGTCGGGCTGTCACCCCGAGGCCCTAGGCGGAAGCACCCCATCTCCTGCCGCCCCTGCCTCCCGCCTCCTCCCGCCTTCCCAGTACCGAGAGGGAAACTTCTCGGCACCCAGTCACCACCACCATCTGGTTTCTCCTTTCAAACGCAAGACGGCGGGACCCCGGGGCGTCCCAGGTTGAGGCGTCCC